TTTATTATTGTGCAGAATTTTACTACAAAAAGGTTTATTATTTCTCATCGCCTATAGATTTTTCTCATGTTTGGACTGCAGCAATTGGGTAGTTTCCTAGGTCAAAAATAAATTATTTCGACATTTCAAAACAATAAAATATTGAAAAATAACTATACTTTTATTCATCGATCGATCGATATACTAATTTTGAGATTTTTTTTAGCTAATTATTAAGAAATAAGTAAGCTATTTGACGCAAAAAAGTTATGACGTCATAGCTCAGTTTTTTATACAAAGGACATGGCCAACTTTTGTATGGGCGTTTGCATAGTTATTGAATTAAATGTACATCAATGATTTTTGGTGTTTACACTCGTGAATGTTATTAAATTAAATTGCAATAAATAAAACACATGTAGAACTCGTAATTACAACACACAAGACGAGAATAGTTTCACTTAACCTTTAGTCAGATTACTGGCACGTAAGTGCACGAAAAAAGATTTTCTTTTAAAAACCTACAGGCGTTTTAATTATTTATTTATTTAATAAATTAAAGAAAAGAATAGGTATAAGTAATAATGATTTATTTATTAAGGAGAATAAATAAAATAAAACTACGTAATAATTCACTTTTATATTTTTATTTTACAGCGTATTTTATTGTTTGTGTATATGGAATGTTAGTTTCTGTATGGGCGTTGGCACAGTTATTGAATTCAAGGTTGATCAATGATTTTTGGGGTTTTACATTAGTGAATATTGTTTTATTAAATTGCAATAAATAAAACACATGAAGAATTTGTCATTAAAACACACTAGACGATAATAATTTCACTGAACCTTTTGTCAGATTACTGACAATAAAGCATAAAATAGGATTTGCCATTAAAAAACCATAAGGCGTATTAATTATTTACTTATTTATAAAATAAAACAAAAGAATAGGTAGAAATAATAATGATTTATTTATTAAGGAAAATAAAACTACGTAATAATCCATTTTTCTATTTTTATTTTACAGTGTATTTTATTATGTTTGTGTATATGGATTGTACGTTTCTGTAATATATATTCTGTATAATTGGGTAATAATATGGTAGTACTTTCCCTTTGAAGCGGCCCGGTTAAAACAGGCGGTAATGGTGGTGGCTCTGGTGGGCTAACTACTTGAACATAAGGGGCAGCTGCATTGTTATCAGAAGCCAATTCCTGCACGTTGTCTGAAGCTGATTCCTGCACATTGTCCGAACCCAATACCTGCAAGTTTCGTGATAAGTCCTGCACTGCCTGTCTATTTTCCCGCATCCAGCACACATGACAAACATAGTTGTTTCTTGAGGGCTGAAAATAAACCCCAGTTAGAATAAACACATGTTTTCAAGTTTTATGTTATTGTAAAATGAGAAGAAAAGAAAGAAAGAAGTCTATTCAAACATGAAAAATACATAAAGATAGATATTATAATCACACATACTTCGATTTTTATAGATAAATACAAGTAGATATATAAAATAATGAATTAAAAACAAAATGCTTACCACATTAATAGTATTTTGTGATATTAGGCCAGTCAGCAATGGAGAGTCCATACTGACATAATGGTGTCTTATTTTTCGAACCGATTTTCCACAACCAGGGCAAACCATGTTATGCCCCAGTAGTCTCTCATGTTCACCAGCCTCAGTATTCAATAATAAGAAGCATGGTTAACAAATGTATATCTCTAGAGGCAATTGAAAAAGATGCACTATTTAAAATAGCATACCATTATAAAACATAAAAAAACAAACTAAGTATTGTACTATTTCGACTTCATACCTGGGTTTGAGCATTGGTTAACCAACGCGAAAGTATTGTTGGATGCTGTGCAGAAAGCGAGGATATAAGACGCCTCTGCAGCCTTTGTATGGCTATTCCGCATTTGATGCACCTTATCGTAATCCACAAAACAAATCCAAAACGCAAAACAGTCCAGGGCTCCAGCAATGTCCAGTAAGTATTATTAGCAAGGTTAACGGAAACACGCTGTCAAAAGTGTCAAACACGTTCCGTTTCGTTTAAGTTTTTTTTGGTGAATTGAATAAAAATTAAAACATAATATTATAATACTAGTATTTTATAAAATGCAACTAAAATCAATGAATACAGTTTCGTATGAATAAAATGTTCCTAGTGTAATGCATTTGTCGATCATATGACACGTTTTCTACGAGTGTAGTTTAAGACACGTGGTTTGGAATTGGAACGTCTTTTTATTTATCTTTCTCTATGGACTATTATGGCGAAGCTTGACAAACGACAAATTGAATTCACGTGCATTACTTTTACATTTTTTTAATAATAATTGTCAGGTCTGGAGAGGCTAAAACCGACGTAGTAATTCATATTTCTATTTTTATTTTACAGTGTATTAATTTTGTTTGTGTACGTGGAATGTACTTTTTTGGCCATGTCCTTTCATAATAAATTATAGTTTTTGACGTTTGGATAAAAGTATTGAATTTGACTAGTTCGAAACTACCATAATCGACTGCAAAAGTCGAATTAAAAAAACAAAAGTAAAATAATATTTGTATGTGAAAAATGGTAAATGAAAAATGTTGGTTAAGCTGTGCATGCATGCTGATTTGGAAAATCGGAACGGGCCATGAACGAGTTCAGAGCCCATAACCAGTTTTTTTATTTAGTAAAGGGCATTTGACCACTATCTCGCCTGGTGACAAGCTATGATCACTTACGATGAAGTAAGTCTATCTACCTATAAGCAATCTATTTACTCAGGCCTTGAAGACATCCAGGTTATACCCTTCTGTTTCTACTATTCTATCAATTTTTACTTAACCTTGCAATCGTGATAATTACAGACACAATAGGTGTGCGAAAGCTGTCTGGAATGTTCGCTTGGGGTCTGATGAATTAAAAACAATTTTCCAACCTATGTAACATAATTTTGTTGGTATGTAATATTGTTTGTTGTAACCAATCCGCTGGGCCCGCATGATGGATTACAACCTGTCCTAGAGACGAGGCCTGTGTCCTGACAGGAGAAACGTTAAAGGTTGATTAATTATGCCAAAATCTACCTAAAAAGGTTCAGCACATAAAGCTACCCTATGTTGGTGATTGTTTTTAATTGATTTTAGATTTAGTTGTACAAAATATAAAGGTGAAAGTCTATTGTACTATCCAAAATAATCTTCAGTAGATTCATTTTATAAATATTGATATTCAATAATTATGAATGAAATAATTATTTGCTTAAATGTATAGGAATTTAAGGTAACCCACTGCAAAGAAAAGTCATTTATTGTGGATTTTTACTGAACATCATTAAAATAATAGAAATAATTCGAAATTTGAAAATATTGAATCGTAAAAAGAACGCTAGCGGTAAGGAACTAGAATAACGCTTTAAATGGGCAATGTTCCAATAAAGGGACTGTGAATCAACATTTTTTGGATCTTTTCCGATATTTTTATTTTTAAGCGGCAGGTAATAACTTCTTTACTCTTCAGGAAGTAAATTTGAATGTACTTACTTGCAAGGTGTTAGAATAAATATTGTAGATATATGTAGATAAGAAGCACGTTATGTACCTACCTGCATGTAACTATTGAATTCTATAATTTAATGGGCCCATTTGCAATAACCAGGATCCCTAATAATCGTCGAGAGCTCACGCTAGCACGTTGTAAATGCCACATATCGAGGCTTCGCTGAAGAGAAAGGAGCACTTCTCTTTCAGCCTTAGTCGCGTGCTGACTAGACCTGAACAAGTTTGGGCGTAAGGACGCAAATTGCCACTACTGCGGAAGGGACTTAGACTCAGCGCAACACACGCTCAAGAAGTGCCCCGATTGGCTCTCTGAATGGTGGATTCTGGTTGCCAGGTAAGACCCTCTCTTCCACCAGTAGTATTTAGTAAGCTTAATTTCGAAGGAAACAATAAACATAACAAAGGTTTATTTTAAGTAGATACCTACATATGTACGTATATTATGTTATATATATATAGTTATACGTATAGTATGTATGTATATTAAATAGTATATTAGGTGGACTATCCAGGTGTACCATTGCTCTAAGATCTCGTTATTGTGTGAGTCCATTACGGGAGTAATTTTCTCGTGTGTTGATCTTGCCATAAAACTGCCGTCCCAGGTGTTGTTCCAAAGCTTATATGTCTGCAATAATTATTTTTGCCAGCTCTACCGTACTGTTGTAATGTGAAGTGTAATCTACTCGTAGTATGAGTTTTATTTTAAATACCTATAATATTTAAAACCAATTAACTTAAATTTAAATTCGAACAATAAGTAATTTCAATGGTTAAAGACTTACCGAATAATCGCGAATGTTAAAATTTCGAATAGCTATCAGCATTTTTTAATCAATGTCAATTTTTTTTTTGCTGCTGATCGTAAGGAGTTAGCGTATTAACACGTTAGTACCTAGTATTTTTGTTATCTAACCATTCCTCTCTGTACTTATAACAAAGTATAGAGGAGTAGCTACAACAGAAGGAAAACCATTCAAATGAAAGCAGTCTTATTCATTTTCGCTTTGCATTCATTTAAATCTTTTAACGCTTGACCCTTCTCACTAAACTAACCCAACGTTTTCATTAATATTTCAACAGCTTAGCATATTATTTTGATAAGAGTAGTAATTTGCCGGATGATCTAGTTTTTATTGGCTTCGTTAGTGGTAAAATAAGCCATTACCACGAAGTTTTTTTGAAATTATAAAACGGTTTGGTAAAATCACTTATCACAATCTTAAATATTTTAACTGCTATTTATTATTAACCAAATAACAATAATATACCAGTACCTACTGTTTTGATAAAGAAGCAAAGATATTTTTTATATGTGTTATCTGTAGCATTTCTTGACCGGGCGACCTCGTTTATCTTGACATTGACAACTGATTGAAACAGACAGAAAGATTGTCATTACATTGTGTCCAAATTTTTTGTTTACCAATTTCAAGATCATAAGTAAACACTTTGGTTAAAAAACACATAATTATATTTTTCTCAGTTATTTAATCAAAGCGTTTACTTACTACATCCTCACGTGTACCGACTCAAAATGTCACTCGTTTCTGAAGATTATTTAAGTGGAGTGGTTCGTCGAACAGCATTGTTGTGTAAGCTTAATAATTGGAGTTTTGTGCAAGAAAAGTTTGTGAATAAGGCACAGAATTATTTTGGAGAATTAATACCGATCACACTGTCCGGTACACGTGATGGGGAATTAGTGTCCTACAACATAGTTTTAAAATTGGCGCCAATAAACGAGCAGTACCGAGTGAGCGGAGCTGTAACTGTGATGTTTGCAAGGGAAACATACGTGTATTCTAACTTACTCAAAGCGTATAGAGAAATACTACAACGTCTACCAGTCCGCTCTCAGTATATTATACCTAAATGTTACTATGTACAGCAAGAGTACTGCAAGGAGTTCATAGCTCTGCAAGACATGACTGTAGAAGGGTATAGGCCCTACACACATGAAATGTTCTTAGATCTAGATCATACTTTGGTTTCTTTAAAGAGTCTTGCTAAATTGCATTCTCTGTCGTTTATTCTACAACATGAGAAACCTCAGCAGTATGAAGATATCATGACCATTTGTGTGCCCTTGACAGAGAGCACAAACTCTAGATACATGGACATTGTGAAAGATAGACTAGATAAGGCAATGAAAAAGTTTCCCGCCTCTAATATAACCCCACTGTTACAAAAGTTGAGAAAGAACTGCGCTAAATATTTTAAAGCGGCTGTGTATTCAGTAGGCAATACTTGTATATGTCATGGTGATGTTTGGAAAGAAAATATAATGTACAAATATGAGGCAAGTATTGTTTGTTTAGGATTGCTTTTATTCTGGAGTTGATATACAGGGTAATAAGATACTGTGATAAAGACTTTTTAGTTCTACAAAATAAATGATAATATGTCTATGTTTATGTATTAAAATAATATTTATTTTTTAGGATAACAAGCCGGTGTCTGCTTGTTTGATAGACTATCAAACAACAAGGAAGTGCAGTCCAGCGTTTGATGTGATGTACTTAATATTGAGTAGTACAAACTCAGAGCTGAGAAATAAATACTTACAACAACTGTTAGAAATATATTACAGAACACTTGAAATAACATTAAAAGATGGTGGGATTGACTCACAAACTGTATATTCTAGGCAAATGTTCATTTCTGATATGAAGACTGTAGCGCCTGCTTGCTTTATAACAGCGAACACTGCATTATGGCTGTCTAACGGTCTGCAAGAGGAAGGGCATGTGAGGAGCAAACATGTTTGGACTACCAAGGATGAGAAGGAAAAGGCTGTGGAAAAATATAAAACAATTGTATCAAGTATGATCGATGATCTTACCACTTTTGGATATATTTCTGTTAATGAATTGTAATAAAAAAATAAGTGTATATAAAATTACATAAAGAATGTAGGTATAAAGCTATTTATATAACAGAAACAGGGATTAGGGTATTATAACGCTCATTCTGCCATACAAAATGTAATATTGAAAATGTTATGCTAGTCAGAAAAATAATTATATTTTTATATTTAACAATGGTAATGGCAGCTAACATTCTGAAATCTGAATGCAAAGAAATCTCATGATAAAAAATTACTATGACATAAATAAAATATGCAATTTCATGATAAATAAGTGATGTTGATCAAATCTTGTTGTTTTGTACATATACATTTTATTTAGTATTTTACACCAACCTAAATTGTTGAATTTTTTTACATACCTACTTATCTAATATAAATATTAATTATTTCAATATGGTCTATTTTTCGTACACCTTGGATGTTTTTACTACTAAGATTTTAGATCAATTCACGAAAGACATACTTAAAGTAGCTTTTGCGCGGGACTTCGTTCGCGTGGAATAGTGACTTCCTCCAGATTTTTGGTTTTACCCACATAGTTCCCGATTTCACGGGATTTTCGGGGTAAAAGCTATCCTATGTCCTTTCTCGATTTCCAAAAGAAAACGGTTAAAATTTAGTACGGACATACCGTACCACATTTCACACAAATCGGTTCAGTTGTTTAGGCGTGACAGAAAGACAGACAGAGTTACTTTCGCATATTAGTTTGGATAAATAATTTTACATATATAAATTTTTTGCTGATAATTGAAATATAATCTGTGGATTATGTACATTGTACACCCAAGTTATCTTTGTTTTGGCGGGAATATTTTTTTTAATTGCTAACCTAGCTAAAGTAAGTCTACTGCCATACCTCAAGTAAAGCCTACTGCCACACTTCAAGTAATTTTATAGTAACTGAACGTAGTCCTTAGCAATTATTTTCGGACCCACATCTCCAATCTAACTAAAAAATTGCAAAGTATAAAACAAAGTTGCCTCTATCCCTACGTATGCTTAAATCTTTAAAACTACCCACGAAACGAATTTTGATGCGGCTTTTCGATGAGTCATTAAAGAGGTAATTTTTTTTATGTAATAGATCGGCAAACGAGCAGACGGATTACCTGATGGTAAGTAATCAGCGCCGCCCATGGACACCCACAACGGAGGAGTTACGAGTGCGTTGCCGACCTTTTAGGGATAAGGGATTTGAAGATTTAGGGATTCAGGAGGGATTGGGGGTGGGGAAGGATTGGGCCTCCGGTAACCTTAATCACACGGCGAAACACAACGCTGTGGTTGTTTTACGCCGGTTTTCTGTGAGGCCGTGGTATCACTCCGGTCGAGCCGACCCATTCGTGCCGAAGCATGGCTGGTATTACACTTGTAATGTACCGTAATAGCCATTAAAAAGGAGGGAAATTTCGATTAGGAGAGAAAGTAGGCCTAGTGCCATATTAAGAAATAAAAAATAACGTTAAACGTAGTAAGTAGGTATATACTTCATATCGAAATTAAAATAAAATCAATCTTTTGATTGCCATTAAAACATTTTTAGTTCGCTTGAAAGGAAAAAGGAGGAATTGAATTTAAATTATCATAGTAAATGTCAGAAGAGCCGTACTTTCAGTGGGAATTATAAAGAGGCAGTGGGTGAGGGACCCGCCGACGCACTCAAATCCTCTACATAATGCAGAATTCGTCTGCTTTCCGACTCGGAAATTTATAAGGCAGCTTAAATGGGTTAAATGCAGTTTATAAAATTTTTGTCTGCAGTGGGAAAATGTTTGATTTAAACATTAAATGGTCGATACTTTTATGGATTATTTTAATTTTGGAATTGTAGGTATCTAATTAATTGTATACCTACAATAATTTAGTTCACTATTAATTGAAATTGTCAGAATTATAAAATAATTAGATACAACGATGATCTACCTACCCACCAAATAGGACTAAATAACTGTCCGTTATATATTAATTCTTTTTAAAAACTATTTAAACAAAGGTTCGATTAAAAAAAAAACCTTGTCCCAAACTAGGTTTTTCTCTCTCAAAGTGTTGTTCCGTGCGGGAATCCAACCCGCGACACGCTGCACAGCGGCATGTAGCCCAGCTAGGTACTGCATCAACCGTGCAGTCATATCTTTCGGAAACGTACGTGTTTAAATCTTGAATTTACCTTTTTCTTTATTATGGGGAAACTTTAAAAAGGGATCATGATCATCTTCATATGCATATGAGCAGTCTCGAGTCGTATTGATCTACGCTGGGAGCTGCAGCACATCTATCCCCAAGGAGATCTATATCTTCCTTCAGTCACGCTGTGAACACTGTTATGGTAAATTTAGGGACCGAAAACACAATATTCATGTTATTTATTAAAATTTCATGCACAATGGGTACATAGGCAGACTTAATGCCCTAGGCATTTTCTACCAGTCGAGCCTTATGGGATGCAGAGATGAGCGAATGGTTGTTGCAACAAACAGACAAACTTTCATATATGGTAAATATACTTACAAAATAATAACGTTTAAATTGATAGATGCTGGATTAATCGTTGTTATACAAATTCTCTTATAAACTTCCGTGTAGTTACTTAGCATCACAGTCTACTTATAAAGCTCATTCGTTGGTGCGAAGTTAGTTAAAGTTGTTCCCAGATGTTGCAGCAAGCACAATAGCTCGGTTCTCGCATTCAGAGCAAACTTCGTTGATCAGCTATTTTAATTGTTGAGTGTTAAAGTCTTGGGATAAAGACGCCTTTATTGAGTACTTGCGCCCAACAAAGCCTTTTAAATCTGCCAACAACTTTGGCAGAGGCGACCAAACAATTTTTGTAAAAACTTTTCGAATTGTGAGATCGTATCTTAAAAACAGATATATCTTCGGTAAAAGTAGATGGATCTTAAGTAAAAAACGATGACTCTTCGTTTGGCGACCTTTAGAAATGTTCGTTCTTAGACAGGACCATCTTATTTTATCAAACCAAGAAAATAACGCTTCGCTCTCGGTTATAACTCAGTTTCAAGTTAAATTGTTTGAGACGAGTGCAGCTCAGTGTCCAAGTTAGATAGTGCATATTTAGACGAAGATTGAACATTGAAATAAATTTACTTCCCGCCCAGAGCTCTCGGAGACGTTGAGAATACTATTTAGTTTTATTAAGTAGCCGTACTGCAGTCCGCGACAGATGGTAAGGAACGTTATTAGATTCTTGGATTTCCACAACCAAAATACTATGTTTAATAAACTTTTATTAGAGTTTATTTGGTTTCTGTGTACAAAAGGAACGAAGGTGGTAAGTTATCACTCAATGTAAGGTTTTAATATATTCGGCGTTTCTTAGGTTGGTTATCTCACAGCTGGGGTTCCGGGGTAAGCGCAATGAGGAACCGCGGTCTCGACCCAGAGCAGGAGAAGGAACGGGGGCGTTTTTAGCCAGTAAGAGTCTGACACTCCCTCCCGCCCGGCCCGGGGCGGGAGAAGTCATTGGATGATTTTCCGCTGTCGAAAAAAAAAGGTTGCCTATCTCAAAAATTATGTATGTACGAATAAATAGGTATTATTAACTTATTTTACTTTCACAAGATTTCTGTATGTTTATTTCAAAATGCCTCAGAGAGTTCACGTGCCTCGGGTTTTATACAAATATTCAAAAATCATTGAAACTAAGAGAATGAAAAGATTTCGATGCTTACCAAACTAATCCCTGCTGTACTGTCCCAGCTGACGACCCCAGCCAGGGCCTCTAGTGGTCTGAGAGCAAATACCTAAGCACCTAGCAACTCAAGAATGATAATGCAATCTATTTTATGTTAATTTATGACAAAGGTATGGTCAAATTTATCCTGCCTCAGTTATCCGTTAACTGCGTAACTAACTCCATTAAAATAATAAAAGGTACTCAAGTGTAACAGAAACCTTCCGTTGCAGATTAATGTTATTTTAAACTTGGATGTAATTAATTTTCATGATGCTTAATGTTGATTCATACCTTCTAGTTTTGGCAGGTAGGATACTACAAACTTTGTGTACAATTTTACAACTTTTAATCGTGACGTCATAGAGGTGAGGGCACTTAGGTAACTATTTTATCGTTACGAGTAGTATTGTAATAAGAAAAAAAATGAAGTAGGTATGTAGGAAACCGACCGACCAGCTATATAAGGTATTTCTCAAAAACGGTAAAGGTATTTTGATAGTTACCCGATGTGATTAAGAATGAGAGCTTAATTTGCAATAAAAATTTGAAAGCTAGTACTTATTACAAAAATATTCACATTAAGAATAAAAAGTACAGCAATGACAACAGGAAAAATAGCATAACGTACCTACGTAAACAGACCTACTTAAGTTTTAATGATAAAATAAATGAACACGTGTTAGTTTTTTATTACAGTAGAGGTTATTCTTTAATTTACATTTACATTCAAAATCTAAACTAACCTTTAAAAAATTACGTTACGCAAAGTAAAGTCAAGTCAAGAAAAAGAAAGCTAGACTAAAAAATCCGGCTATCACGATTTTAAAAGACATCCCTTTGTAGTGTCATAAATTGTCGCGGGATCTGCGTACAACTGTCGACAAAGCGTTGGCTGGCTTCCCGCCAAGAACCAGAGTTACTTGCGCGTTAAGGTTGCACACAAGACCTCGATTGTGGGAAGGAGGTTCAGGTACGCTACATCTCAAGGAATTACACTTAACATTCAGACCTAGATCTCCTTAGGTTTCGCAATTCGATTGGCCTAGTCCGTTCTGAAAAATGTTATAACCTAAAAATGATCCCAAAAGGCTTAACGGATTTAGGTATATTCGAGGTTTTGTCCAGTTTTCTTACAATTGTGGACATTTTAAAGGATTTGAAAAGGCCTTTATGTAATTTTTTGGGACACAAAAAAACTTTCAGTGGCGTTTTAGGTGTTGAAGGCTTAAACGTGCTACGAATAAGAAAATCATATTTTGTTTCTCTTTTGATATTGCGTGTCAGTTATTGGATACCTTCCTATACCTAATAAAGTCGACTAATCATTCAATAATAGGAATCTACATATGTAGGTAAATGCTAAAGTTTTATGTGTCCTTCGAACTTAAAGGCAT